AACCGAAATTATTCTAATTGAAAATATTAACTAGGATACCCCCAAATTAAAAACTTGCTGGGATCAATAACTACCTTTATATTATAACTGCGCCAGAAGAACCATGCTACTCAATCAATAATCACACACCCTAGTCTTGAATCGACAAGCAACTGAGAATGATGGACTTATTAAGTTGATTTAGTGAATACAATGTTTGATCTGTAATAATCCAATCTTGCATTAATATATGTTGCAGCATGGTAGCCACATCACATACACGATGCATTAGAGCTTATTACAGTTTTAACTTCTTAAAGCCTCATAGTCTAAAGCAAGAATGCAATAATTACATCTGGACTGAATTATCACTAGCAAATGACTACATTTCTAAACCAGTCCGCCAAACCATGGGAACTGTTTAAATTTTGATGAGAGTAATTGTAGCAGCAGAGCAGGGACTAAGTCTTAACAAATCACGATAGTGATGATATAATCATGTAGTAACATAATTCACAGGAACGTAGGTCGTAGAAGTTAATAATGCAACAGGAATTCATTCATCGTTCTCTTATGCCGAAAGTGATTTTTCTACATGAAAACCAACACAAGTAAACTTATTGGATACTTACAAGCTGGGCCCATTCTCGTCATGACCAGCAATGAGAAGAGATACCCCAAATGGTCGAGACTGCACGGGAAAACATTACTCTATGTAAATAAGCAATTCAAAAGTAATGCCAAAGGCAGAATTCTATAACAGATTGCAAAAATAAAATAAAATGAACACGTATATAAGTCATACCGACTGTGGCCTTCTACTTATTGTTTACTAAGATGAGGAACAAGCATCATAAAAGGGAAATCAAAGTATCAACAACTATACACAGAAAGGATATGCAATAGTACCATGGATTCTTCATCTCCTTCACCAAATCGAAGGGCCAGATCACAGAGAGCTTGTGTAGTGGACTCCACAGTCATTGGCTCACCATACGAGAATCTGTGGTTCTGTGTGAGTTTTGAAGATATCAGCATAAAAGGCACACATAAATTCATATCAAATGGAAAAGTACTAACAACTATGTTACCTGAGTCTCAACTCGTGCATGTTCAACAAGTGTACGTGCATCAGCAATCAACCCACTCATGGCACATCCTATATGATCATCAATTTCCATAATCTTCTCGACACTGCTGGGTTCCTGAAAGAGAGTCCAGTACCTATGAGGCCCGAAAAAAGTTGCAATAATCTACATTCCACAAAATCTACTATGACAATGCTAAGTGCCGGATTTCTGGTAGCATTATAAAATGATGAGGGTAGCTTCAAGTGTTGAAGCATTAAATAAAAGACTCAAAGTAAACAACTGGCAGCATACATTTACATGGAACCAACATACTTCCTTGTGTTACGCGGTTCAATGACAAATTTGTGATAGGGGAGGAATAAGTATTAGCAAACAACATTGCTTGCATCCAAATCTTCAATTCGAGAGCCTTGACTTTTAAAATATATTGACTCCCTAAGAGCTAACCATCACTTCATTCATTATCCAAGGAACTCCAAATCTTAAAATCACATCCGCTAATTTGCAGTTTAGCACACAATGCACAGCAAAGCAAAGCAAAAGGGGGGAGGGGGGGAAATAAGAACAAGCAAAGACTAACTGAACAAATAACCATTGCGAAATAATTAGCATACATAATAACATTAAGTCAAGTAAAGGTTACAGACCAACAATGGCGAAGTAATACGCTTCTCGACAGCCAGCACTACACCGTCTTTCGTATTTATCCCAATTGCAGTTGATCCCAGCTGCAATTCAAATCAATAATAATAAAAAAAACATTTACAGACAAACCCAAAAATTTTAAAAACAAAAAAGACCCAATAGCAATTTTTCCTTCGAGAGACGAAGGAATTGGGTGGTTTTCTAAGGAAACAAACAGAAAAAATTTAAAGAAACTTCTACCTTGATGGCCTCGATAGCATATTCCACTTGGAACAATCTTCCCTCCGGAGAAAATGTGTTCACCCCACGGTCATACTCAGTCCTTCACAGACCAATCGCCAAACAATAAGAAGAAAAAAGAGGAAAATTTAAACTTTATCAGGGACAAATATGCTTTGATTCGGTACCTGGTGAGAAACATCTTGGATCAATTGACTGTTAGATCGAACAAAACCTAATGAACAAAGGAAAACCCACAAATTTTTAGCTTATTTCTGGAAAGAAAATTAACTAGAAAAATAAAAATGAGCCGGGTGATTTACTAACGAAAGAGTATCAACCGAGAACAACCAAGCGAGAGGAAAGAGAAAGCTGCTGCCTTTTTTAAGTCTCCTAGTCTTCTTGCAAAACAAGCCAGCATATAAAACGGCGGCGTTTCGAGTCGTGCAAGTATTCATAATGAATATATACGATTTATTGAGCAGGCTTCGACCTTCAACTAATGGGCTTTAGAATGTGATCTGCACATACCCAAGACTTTGGCCTTTCACTTCATTGGATAGCCCATTCAAATACTTTTTTTTTGCAAATTCAAATATGATAATGAAATTTTTTTCAAATTTCAATTAAATACTTTATACAAATTTAAAAATAATATATTGATTAATCATCATATCTAATTTAAATTATAATTTAGAGGTGTTCAGTGTTATTAACCCTATTTAAAATTTGAATACAGAATCTATTAAATAATTATATGGTTAAAAAAGAGTTATTCTTATCATATTAATTAAGCAATCGGGTCTATATGTGTGTCTTATGTCTTGTTAATGATTAAAAAAATTATGAATAAATATTATTTTATAATCACATCATATTATTAAAAAAACCCAAACCCAACCATCAAAGTTAAACCTAAACAGTTCAGTTAAAACAAAAGAACTTGTTTGATGAATATATGAAAGATTATTGAGAGTAAAAAGTTGAGAAAATGACTTGCCCTATTTTCAAAAATAGTTTTACATTGTTGAAGGAAACAGATAAAGGTGAATCTTGGGAACAGGGATAATTCTGTCGTACATCAGCCTAATATAAGACTAAAGAAATATGTTATCGAAAATATTATTGGTTTTTTAATATTTTTGGTAAAACCTATCTAAAATATATTTTTTTCTAACGGAAATGCTTATTTCGCAACCTAATTTCCGCTAGAAAAACTGGTAGAAAAAATAACATATTAGGTAACACCCAATTTAACATTTTCGGTAGAAAAAATAATGTTTTAGTAGCGTTTTACCGAAAATGTTAAAAAAACCAATAATATTTCCGGTAGCGTATTTCCTTAGTAATATATTAGACTGGTGTATGACCCTGGGAACAGTAACAAATAAGCATTCCAATTAGCGAATGAATGTGTAGATGCTTGCATTGTCAGATATGTTTCTTCTGCAACTGCAACTACTGCTTTTGTTTGTCTGGTTGTTTTGGTCATCTTGTCTTTGTTTCTTCACTTTGGTGGTGATGAACACTTGGACTGTAACTTTTTTTGGTCTGCAAAAAATGCGCTCCATGAGATTTACCATGTCTTTTTACTGTGTGAGTGGCAGTGGATCTATGGGGGGGTGAAGCAGAGGGAAAGGCGTTCTGTAATTTAGCTGCAACAATGGCCATGGGAAGTCAGATATCGACGAGACAAAAGCTACTACTTCTGCAAAACTTTTATCAAATGCTTTGTCATTTTGTGTATGCTGAAATGATACTGTGTACACTTTTGAGTTTTGACCATATATATACTTCGCGAATTCAGAAATAAATTAAGAGTAAACTACATGTTTAGTACCCCAACTATTGTTTCTGTTATGTTTTGATCACCCAACTCTTTTTTTAAAATCATATCTAACGTCTAGTTTTGGTTTCATTTTGATCATCCGTCGTAAAAAAATTAATGGTAATGCTAAAGTGTCACCATAAGATAATATCACGCCATCATTGAAAAAAATAAGAAAAAATACCACATAAGCACTTCTGCTAAATTTTTAAAGGTAGATGATCAAAATAAAACAAAAATGTAATATTAGATATGATTTTGAAAAAAAAAAGAATAGTTAGATGACCAAAACATAACAAAATTAATAGTCGGGATACTAAACATGTAGTTTACCCTAATATTGAATTAGTACATCTTTAGAAGCTTAAAATATAATTTTTATTATTATTTTAACTTATATTGTTTTGGATTAAAAGATTTATTTTCTTCCATCTTTTACCTTCTAAAACCTAAGGTACTAAAATAACTTTTATCATTTTGGAGGGCATGGGCATGGCCCCTACACGCCCTCCTTGTTTCCACCCTTATATATCATTATTGTTATTAGGTTTATTTGTGAAATAAATACCTAAACTATACTCTTATTTGTTTTAATTATTTAAAATTTTTCTAATCAAAATAAATATCTAACGTTTTATTCCGTAATTATTTCCAAGTCATTCCTTAAAAAATCGTTATCATCTATAATGAGTTCTTCAAAGTCTTTGAACTTTTAATCTAATTCATCATTGCAAGCGAAATCGAAGTATTTTGGATCTAGTTTTTGAGAGTTGGGATTTTGATTCGACTTACGGATAGATAGATTTTCACAGTGAAATTGTTTGGGATATGAGATTTTTTATTTTCGCAAAAAAAAAATGAAGATGCATATATCAAACTTGATACACCAGGTGAGTAGAATAAAATGTTAAAATTATAATATTTTAGAAACCTTATTATAAACTATTAATTGATTATATAGAATAGGTAACTCGGGGCTGTCTCCGGTGAGTAGAACCAAAATGTAGTGCAATATTGTTCGGCTTGTGGTCCACACCAAGTGCAATTATCAGTGGGTCACAAAGGTTTGCTAGGGGGTTAGACGAATTGGTCCACAAGCATTACCAGACAAGTTCCTTGTTCTACTCCAACAGAACCAAACATAAAGAAAACCAAATCCTTCCCCTTGTGTGTGTCACAAACAAAATAATAAAAAGGCACAACGACAATGGTGGAAAAAAACTTCTGGAGATGATTCCATTTTCTGAAACTCAAATGTCAAACAGTTCACACACTGTTACTGATGTGATTTTTCTACATGCAATCGGAGATGATCCATCGTTTTCAGTGTCTGTTACCGCAAGGTAAACAACCACATGAGATGTTGCCTGAAAAATTCGAGTTACTCCGGTGATTGACCATCGCCATATTGTTCGGCTTTTGCATTTGCTCAGCATGTTGTTGTCGAGCCGAAGCTCTCCATTCCTCGGCTTTTCGATGAACAATCGCCATTCGTTTCATTAATTTCTCCTCTAACTTCGATCTCATCTTCTGTATTTTCACCTGCAAAAAGGAAAGAAAAGTTAATGTTAGTCCATAGTCCACTAATGGATCATTGGCATATAATTGAACAAGTGCAAGTGCAGCCTTTATTAAATATGGTCCATAGACTATTTTATTCAACAATGGCTAAAAACCAAGCTTCCAGACAGGAAACAACTCAGATTTAAAGTAGACATTTCAGTTTCCCATGAATTTTCTAATGCTGGAACATCACATGGAGATGGAATTACAAGTTACAATCACCACGGTTCCGATATAAAAATCGATGTTCGACGACTTTTCGGCCTTCTTCAAGCATATTTTAAGGGGATAAGCATGCAGATAAAAGAATATTGAACTGAGAGAATGCACTCCAACAGAGGTGGACTAGTCAAGAAAAGCAAGAGATGAGAAGGTATCTTTGAGTTGCGGGTGGCTCGAGGAAGAAATCGATTTAATAAGTTCGGATGACGCTTCGAGGTATAATCTGATTCAGTTCGACAATAGGAACCAGGTGTAAAGCTGAGAAAGACTGAACAAGTACCTCAAGCTTTCTTGATTGAGCTTCTGCTTTTGCACTTTGAAGGTTCACCCAAGCTTGGATTTTTGCTTCCTCTCTCTGATACCTGTGACCCAAGCAATGGTGAATACTTATATGCTACGTAGCACAGACAATGCCAACAAATAGTTTACCTCAGGCAGCATTTAGTCCTTTCCTCCTCCTCCCATGTTGGAGTCCGTGAATCCGATACACTCCTTCGGCACACATTGCCGGTTTCAAAATGTCTAAGGCTCTTCGACACTTCTTCCTCTTCCTCCTCCCTCGAGCTCCAATTCGATGTGATAGAATCATATTGCGACCCGAGTTGTAACTTAGCTAGATGACACTCTTGCAGCTGGGAAATGTCGATTGTGCTATTGGAACTATTTGAATTGGCAGGTTCCAACGGACCTGATCGATTAGCTGGTGTATTATGCCGTGCAGGCGACGACGGCGTGTGACATCTAGAAGTGGTGGAACTTCCTAGCGGAGTCATCTCTGTCCCAGCGTCTTTATGTTTAACTTCATGGAACACTTCAGTGCCTGCATCTTTCATGGTGTCACTCACCGAGTTCCAGAACAGAAACACTTCCCTCGAGGGCTCTGAACATCGGAAATTCGGAAAAATCGATTCGACCTCATCTGTGAACTTATCTACATAATCATGCAGAAAAACAGATATGATCATAAAGCCTAATTGTATTCAACAACTCACAATCAAAATCACAAGATTCTACCTTTTAGAAACACATCATTGGTGCCTGGGATTCCATTAAAGTTTCTGGTTTGATTATGGTGCTCCTGTGGAACTGACCCTTTAAATACTTCAGCTTGTTGCTTAAAGTTATCACAGTGTTTAGCTACCTTTGATGATTCGGGCTTCATGGTGTGAGCTGGAGATTCATGGCAAGAACTGCTGATTAGCCATTTTTCTGCATCATCCCACTTTGAAGGAAAGCATTTTCTAGCAAGATAGCCGCCGCCACCGCCGCCATTGTTTCCGCCGCCGCTGAAGTTGAAAACAGGCCTACCTGGTGTAGAAGGAGCTTCAAAAGCTCTCCTTTGCGCTGTCACTGAGTTCACCCCAACTCGCCTCCTCTCCATTGAAGCAGACATTGGGAATGATTTGACAAACTCAGATGTCTCCTTGAGATTAAGCTTGCAAAGTGTGTCTGAAAATGGGTTATCATTACTTTCTCCATAAATGGTCGTTGCATTAATCTCCATACCCGGTTCCTGAATCAAAACGAAAACAAAAACACAAACACGTTAACTGAAAGAAAAACAAGAAACACAAAAGAATGCAACAAAGGTGGGATCTTTAAGCTCAAAAATACCTCATTGGAGAACCAAAGTGGAGCTTGAAAGTACTTGGGACTCGCAAGATCCATGCTTTTGTTGAAGACGAGCTTAGTTTTCCCAATAAGTTAATATAAACTGTCATGTGAAAGCGATTGCAGGTTTGGAGTTTGAAAAGAGAATGGAGTTAGCTAAACAAGGAAAAGAGAAGCTTAGACTGGTAGAGGAACTATGAACCAATGTAGTACTGTTTCATAAGACCCACATGGGCTGGATAAGTGAATAACCATTAAACAAAAGCTTTCCTTTTGATATATCTGTCCCCAAATGGCAGCATTTACCCTTTCAAAAAGAAACAACAGTGACACATTGTCCTAACCTCACAAATTCACATAGATTTAACCCAGGAGACGAAATAGTACCTCATCAAAAGGAGAACAACTTTGGGAATTTAACATAATTTAATACTACAAAAGAATACACAACAAAATTATATAAAAAGGATTAAAAAACAACCTTTAATCTTTGAATTTTGATTAATTTTTTTGATCATATTAGAAGCTTCTTCATTGGATTTCATCTTCACTTTTAGAGTGTGGGCATAGGCTCATATGCTGTTAGCATGGCAGGTAAGCAGCGGTTAAAGTTTAAAATGTACGTGTTCAATTAATATTCGAACACGATTAGTTGAAAACATGTCGAATACATATGATTGCTTAAAAATGTATACCTACATTGATATTTTCGGAAAAGTTCCATAAAAAGAATAATTGATTGTTTGAAGTGTGGATGGATGGTTGGGGGTTGGAACAATTTCTTTTTAGTGCAAATAAATCCTTACAGCTAATAAAGCATAGATCTTTCAAAAGTTCAAAGCTAACATTATGAAACATTTCCAGTTTGACATATGCTGTATAACTTAATACAGAACTATAAGCATTACAGTGTTCAGTACTTTTGTTTATTAATGTCTCTCTCTCTATGTATAGCTTTTTAGGGATTTATTGCATTTGTAAAAATATTAAGAAAATGTTGATGTAAGAAATTAGTTTAAGCGAACTTCGTAGTAATTGTCGTAGTCATCTTGGGGCATCGACGAATCTAGTGAAATTATCCTTTAATGTGAGTAAAACAGAATCATTTTTGGGCCTAAAGTCCTCGGTCGAACTTTCTTAATAATTGACGATGCATGCACACCCTTAATTGGTTCATTAGACTTTTGTTTTTCTGTTCCTATACAAAGGGGATATAAAGACATAATCCAAATAATTAAAGTTGTATTGAAACACCGAAGTTGTTGCTGGTTAACAAGACAATCAGATTCCAAGATGCAGCCAGCATATGGTGCCTTTTAATTCTCTTCATTTGGATTGAGATTCTAGGTTCAATTGTAACAATAAATATTGAAGGGATAAAAATAACTTTAATATTTATATTTGTTAATTTTTTTTCAATTTAGTCCACGATTTTTTCCCCATATTAATCTTCAAGACTGATGCAAACTTAGCTATTACCAGATTCCACAGTTTTCATGAAAAATCTCTTTCTATTGTAGTCAATCACCTTTGTTTTTACATAATATCAAATGCAAATTTTTATATGCTAAATACAATAAGAAATTTTTTTTTCTTGTACAAAAATTTCATGCAAAGGTCACTAAATATTTGACTTTTGACAGAAATTCCTAGTTGAAAAATGGAAACCAATCATATGAACAATGCAAACCAGAATGGGAGTGATAAATTTCGAGATTTCGTTCGCGAAATCACTTGGCAAAGGTCCCTTGGTGTCCGTTCTCTTCACCCGTATCTGACTGAGATTTGCCTGATGTGGAAGGAGAAGACCACTGATCCGGGATCATTAGGAAGTACGTAGCCATTGCTTTCCGGAACCTTTTCTTGTATTGTTTTGGCGAAATTACAGTCGGTGATGCATTCTTCGGTCCACCGAGGATGCCGGAAGCCTTCACCCAATTTTCAAGATGCTTGTCCCAGGTATATTGTCTCATGTAATCAATGATTCCGACAACTAACTCATGCTTCTCTTCATCCACTCCGACCAGTAACGAGTAATCCATCACGTCGCTTGCCTGCAAAGTTGAAAAGATAAAGAAATAAGAAAAACGGGATGTCGTGCACTTTTGGGTAATCTAAACTAGAAACGCATGATCATGCAGATGGATCTCCAGGCCCGAGCATGAAAGCAAAGATCTAAAACTTACTGCAAGAAAAGCAGTGTCATTCCAGATTGCTCTTTCCAGCAACCGCTTCGCTTTATTACTCACGAAAATCGGGGAAGTCCGCATTGATTCAATCAAGTTCTGATCTAGCAGAACCTTGTTGCTTCCGCTGGATTGGGGAACATAACGAGATCTAGATCCCTTGAGATCATATTGTCGAGTGACATTTCTTCCGAACAGAATATTCTCCATAACCAGAACATCCATCTTTGCCTCTTTCCCGCCTTTAAGATGCTTTACAGAAACCTTCCAACAGAAATCAACAATAAGAAAAATAAATAAGTGATCACAGAAAATATGTGCAATAAAAGCAAAGGTTCGGTTGAAAAGTATCCGCAATCATCATCAAACAACCAGGATAAATTTAAACTTAAAAGCTAGATTATATCAGGGTTATTCCAACTAATTGACAGAAATAGATTAACGATTATCGAATGTAGCTTTAGAGCATCTGAAGTCATAGTAACCAGCACCTGATAAACGCCAAGAATCTTTGCCAGGCACGTTGGACTTCGAGAACTAATTGATTCAGACAAGTACTTGAAATATTCAGGTGCGACTTTTATAAATGATTCCAACTCTGTCTTTGTGACTTGTTTAACAATAAATCGATCATCTGAGGTTTTTGCAAAGAAAACTTTGCTCTTGCCACCCTGAGCTTTCCACTTCTTACAACGACTCAAAGACCTTGTAAAATCTAGCTCTGATGGGCAACACATTTTCCTCAATGCTTCGAATCTCTTTGCATAATAGCATGTAACAGTAAATTTCACCTTATCGGGCGATCCATCATCTCCGAAAGACACCTTTACATGCAAAGACTTTGTCGAGGAGAGTGGATCCATATTCAAGCTGCGAGATCCAGTAATGTTATCTGTTGAACCAAGACTTTTATGAAGATCAAAGGTCAGCTCATCAACCGAACATGACCATTGAATTATCGAATCAGGAAACGATACTGAGGCTGTTAAATCCCCATTTTCTTTAGGCCTATCCTCATCATGACTTACTTCAAAATGATATTCAGGTGATGCTAGAGCGTATGATATCATACTTGTGGGCTCATCGTCGTAAACTGGAATAACAGTGTCGTTAAAGCCCACTGGCAAAAGCAGTCTAGCCCCGTCTTGCACTTCCAACTCTCTAAATGAAGAAACATAGATTGGATCATATTCAGTAAATGTATCGATCTTTGAAGCGTTTCCTAAAAGGTTATTGTTCAAGGAACGGTAGAAGCTTAAGAAAGGCATTTTTAACCAGCTTACAGTGTCTTCCATATTTTCAGAGCTTCTAGTAGACAATACAGGAGAAAGAGAATGAAAAACCATCGGCTCAATCTTGTCTTCAGAGTGGACTTCCAAATCTATACCCTTAGTTACTACATCCGCAAAAGTAATATCTAAAGCAGCAGAATCAGAAAGAGAACTCAAACTATTCTTGGGTAGTGCAACTGCTCGCTGAATTTCGCCGGTCCAAGCAGCTTCGAGGGTATCTGACAAATTTTCTATGACAGGAAACTGACCTTCAGACAAGGCCCGGCGAACATTTGCCAGAGGTTTCGCACATTCCAGTTGTTCATACATGCTCTGGCTATCAGCAAGAATACCATGGTCTACCGATACAGGATTTGAAGTTCCACTCGTATTTGGTTCTTGATGTATAAAGTCTGAGTGATTAGTGCTGCCATTTAATTCTCCTTGGTCAGAGCCCCTATCAAGCTTCGCATCCGAAAGAGCAAAGTCACAGCCTTCACTGCCTTTTCCAAGCTCCAGCATATCGATGTCCTGGAGGTTGTAATTTTCTAAATTGGTTGCAAAAACCAGGCGATGGTCCCACATATAAGATTGGAAAAGTAATTGTCGCCGCAACCGTTAATTTCAAGAATGTCGATAGCAGGTTCCCCTTTTTTCACTTCCCTTTTCAAAGCCTTTTGCAACGATTCCTGAACCAAATCCAAGAACAATAAGAAACCAGACACTAAAAACAGCAATGAATATATTTGACATTTGCCAAAGTTCTATTCTTTACCAGAATTGTATTGATAAATGCAAAGGGTAATCACAATAGACCTCCACATATTCGAACTTTTCAAAACAATTTGCCAAATATCTCAACATGACGAATTCACAAAACAGAGAGATAGAATTTCTAACAGATAATATCATTGCTGGAATGCACTCATAGTCGTTCATTTTTATTGTCAACATAATCAACAAAGCAAAAACTAAAACATATGAAGTAAGTCTCACCTGAAACTCCATTTTCTCCTTTCGTAACATTCCTTCAAGCTCAGCAATTTGATGTCTCAGTTCAGGTGTTTTCATGATACTATGAGGTGCCCCAGCCGCAATTAATTTATCTGTAATTTTAATTAGGGAATTGTGTACTTGAGAAAACATATGCTCTGCCCGATCAGCCACCTGTTTACGATAATAAAATAAAAATATGTTAACTAAATGCAGAAAGATCTCTATATCGGCTCTTCAAAAAACCAAAACTATTATCCACGCACCTTATCTACCTCTTTCTGTATCCACTCCTGATTCTCAAAGTCAAAACTAACTTTCGAGGGTGGAAGGTAGACAGAATGGACGTCAATTGTAGCATATTGAAAGCAAGCCACCATTCTCCCAAATCTACAGATATTTTTAGACAATGAATAGTCGGCTCGTTTGAAGATTCACAAAATTTCGTAGAGAACCAATAGATTTTCTATGACTGATATATCGACAGAAGAGTTTACGGACAAAAAGGCTGATATAAATCAAACAACTATGTAGCAATGATTAATTACACAATGTGGTGAATTAAAATAATAGGTCAAGAACCTGCACAAAAGCT